AATTACTTAGAAAAATATTAGACGTGGATTCTTGACTTTTTATTCACCCTGTATATACAGTATCATTGTATTCATTACTATAGTCCAGGAGCAAACTGCACATATCCAGCTTCCGTGGGATTTTTTGTGAAGGGAATGTGTGACTATGTGGAATCTCTTTATTATATGTCACATAATGGTGTAGTACCGGGTGTTTACCCTCAAATTGCGGGGTTTGGTTTTTATGACGTCGTAAATCCAAGATGGTCGCCATGTGTGACATCTATTCATTAAATTAATAATAACTCTTTTCAGAGTAAAATAATCGAATTTTAATTTACACCATTGAATTCAGCTCAAAAAATCAAACAATTTGGTGTTTTGAATCATTGCTCTATGACCATTGGTTACCGAGATATTGAAGGCGGAAAACACAGAACATTGTCCCCATGTTATCCTTATGGGGAAAAAATAAAATTGTATATCTAGCTTATTACTCAGCATATCTAAATAATAATTGGTATGTGGCTTCATTTAGTAGAGATCTACTTGATTATGGCCTAAAATCCCCCATTTTTACATTTCCGTGGCAGCAAACCTGCATACTAACTTCCAATGTTTTTCTTATGGACAATTTTTTGCATGCTTGTTCATGAACATACTTTGAGAAATGATGATGTGTGGCTCCATTTTAATTATTTATTGAAGCATTTGCAATTCGTTGAGTATACAGGTCAGCTGCTACAGGGGTATTGTAGCTATAAAAAATATCACAAATTATTGGTATAAAATAAAATAAAATAGACTATAGTTCTGGGTCATATGTAATTTCGTGTGATTGTATGATTGGTGGTGATAGATAGGTAGTGACATATAGAATCGTGTACTACCGGGTGTTTTGTCTGAAAGTGTGGCCAAGCTGGTGTTTTTGGCCCGCCGTCTTGGATCCACCATATTGGATATTAATATAATTTTTTAAATGTAATGCTGGTGTTGTGACTCATCATTATAAGCTATAGATGTTTACGCTAATATCAATTCCGAAAACCGTGTGTAAATATCGTCTTTCGTTTCGAAGATATATTGAAATGAAAACTCCCCCCCCCCCATACATCTTTTACGGACGTTTCGTACTTTGATTATTTTTCTCATATATCCAGTTCTTATTATCGCTTGCAATTCGTTATAGTCTTAAAGTATTCAGTGATGTAAGGGATTTTATTCAAGCTATCGATCATTAAAATCGGACGAGTTAGAGTTGAGCTATGAACCACAACACAATATTAAATTTAACTTTTCCCAAATCAGTTTTATTAAAAGATTTATATCTCGGTTTGTTAATACGGCAAAAGCTTCATTCTAGTCTTAAATTACTCAGTAAATAACTGGTTTAAAATGTTATTAATCACTAAATGAAATCTGACTAATTGAAAATGAGTCATGGGCCTTTATTTAACATTAATAATTATTTTTATTTAGAAATCTTTCTTTGGTTAAAGCAATTAAAGACATACAGGGCTGGTCATCAGGGCCAAACATTTGTTTGGTGTAAGTACAGAGTAAATGATGTGTGATGAGGCATATAAGACTAAGGTTTCATGTCTACAAATTGTAACACTGATGACTAGCCCTGTATGTCTTTAACCAAAGAAAGTTTTGGACATAAAAATAATTTAATGTTAAATGATGGTTCATGACTCATTTTAAAACAACTTAGTCAGATTTCATTTAGTGATTAATAAAATGTAAAATCAAACATTAACCAAGTAATTTGAGACCAGGAAGAACTTAGTGACGTACTAATAACCCGAGATATACATCTTTTAATAACCACAGAACTTTTTTTCTTTTTTTGCTGAACTCCTGCATCAATCTTTGCATATTTCCAAACTTTCTATTTATTGCATTGTTATTTATTTTTGTTAATATAGTCTATCCTGTTGTTATTGCATTGTTATATCTTGTTCTTGTACAGAGTTTATCATATTGTTATTTTTTCTGAAAGTTTTATCTGTTTTTCGTTTGTTCTGCCTCTTTACTGAAGTTTCACTCGGCTACTGCATTGCATCATTGTTATTGTTCCTATACTGGTTTTGTTTTTCGAATATCTCGTTTTGTCAACTTGTTCAGATAGTTTGTTATTTATAGTTGTTACTTATAGTTTGTTATTCATAGTTTGTTATTTATAGTTTGTTATTTATAGTTGTTATTTATCTTTTTATGTCTTGTATTGTAATATTACATGTCATTCATTCATCATTAACATTAATTTCTCTATTATTTTGTATATTTTCTCTCATAATGTCTGTTAATGCCCCTGATAATGTATTATCAGTTATAATATGTTTCTCCTTGTTAATGTGTTATTTTATCAAATTTTGTTCAATGTTATATAATATCCCATCACCCCACAGAAACATCATCCTATTTCATGTTACAATAAAATATTTATGCAAATTCTCTCCATACCTATTAAGTACTCATCAAAAACCAACAATAATCATTTATTTAGAATAATATATAATTGTAAGAAAATTGCAATATAGTAATAACATCTTAAATATAGTATTATTTTTCAAAATTATCCAAAGAAAAACAAAATTACTGTGGCAAGTGTCATTCATGTAAATTTAACCAGCTGTGCATCATTGCAACAATGGACATGGACTTCCTGAGCTTCTACCATTGCCTCTCCCCAGATCCTGCCAACTCTTCACAGTGTGAACATCATTCTATTGGAAATTGTGTTTGAGTTAAACTAAAATTTATAATCCCAAAGTAAAACCTATATTTTAAATTTCTCATCATCCAAAAGTATTGGACAAGTGCATTGAAGAGTACCAATTTAGGCTATAAGAAGACAGACACTCCAAATTTGGTAACCATCATCCATCTTATTTAACTAAGGACAAATTTAATCTTCATTGGACATTTAATCAGTACAGCCTACTAGGCCCAAAAACTCAACTCATCAAGATATACATATTTCAAATTGAACTTTTATTCAAAATTTAATCTTCAAATCCTATTTTATTTCATTAAATTCAGTGAAACCATTTGGAATCTTTCTTTGGACATTTAACATTATTATATTAATAGCATCATGAACCTAGCTTAACTTATTTCAGAACAATAACTAAATTAAATTATTTGCATTTTCAAGAAGCCTAATATATCATTCGAACCGGCACGACCACCCCTCCCTGAGATTAAGAGCTCATATTCAAATAGTAATTAGTACTGTACTTTAGAAGAAACCAACCCAATAAGCCTAGAATAATATCATCCACTTTGGAAACCCCACCATTTTGAAAATTTACCATTGTTAACTTACCCTGTAGCTAATTCAACCAACAACTTATCTAATATTTGTATTTCATTAATAAATTTATATTGTAACTTATCAAATCTATTTATTCTTAAAATAATTCATAATTATAAGATTAAGACAAAGACTTACCTTATTAGACAGAAACAAAACACAAATTAGGAATTATCTTTATTAAGAAATAAAAATGACTTTCAGTTCAATGTGGGCTAACTTAGTAGCCAAAGGAATTTTGTAGGCCTAAGTTAATGAATAGCCTATAGAAAGCTTTATGGTGCGTAGCAGTATTGAAGTCTTGTTTTTCAGTTTTTTTTCACTACTTTTGTACTGGCCTGTGATCTTTTTCTGCTTCTTCCGTATGTAAGATTATTGTATTATTCATGTAAAAATGGTGCAACCATTAACAAATAAATAAATAAAATAAAATAAACAGATTTGTAATAAGTTAAATTTAATATTGTGTTAGGGTTCGTAGCTCGACTCGAACGCTCTAACTCAACCGAATTTAAAGATCAATAGCTCAAATGAAAGCTCATACATCACTGAATATCTTAAGACTAGAAAGAACTGCAAGCGTTAATAGGAACTGGAGATATAAGAAAAATAATCTTAAAAATGTTCAAAGTACGAAACGTCCGTAAGAAATGTATGGGGGAGAGTTTTAATTTGAATATATCTTCCAAACGAAAAAATATATTTAAAAACATATTTCAGCATTGAAATCAGCGTGAAAATTTTGTTCATAATGATGTGTCACAACACTAGCATTGTATAAAAAAGTTATTAACATCCAATATATGGCGGATCCAAGATGGCGGCCGAAAACACCAGCTTGGCCACACTTTCAGACAAAATACTCGGTAGTACACGGTTCTACATGTCATTACCTATCAATCGCCAACAATCATACAATTGCTTAATTCAAAATCCTACAAAATTACATATGCCTCACAACTATAGTCTAATTTATTTTATTTTCTAATACCTGTAATTTGTTTATAGCAGACCTACCCGTAGCAGCAGACCTGTATACTCAACGAATTACAAATGCTTCAATAAATAATTAAAATGGAGCCACACATCATCATTTCTCAAAGTATGTTCATGAACAAGCATGCAAAAAATTGTCCATAAGAATAACATTGGAAGTTAGTATGCAGGTTTGCTGCCACGGAAATGTAAAAATGGGGGATTTTAGGCCATAATCAAGTAGATCTCTACTAAATGAAGCCACATACCAATTATTATTAAGATATGCTGAGTAATAAGCTAGATATACAATTTTATTTTTTCCCCATAAGGATAACATGGGGACAATGTTCTGTGTTTTCCGCCTTCAATATCTCGGTAACCAATGGTCATAGAGCAATGATTCAAAACACCAAATTGTTTGATTTTTTGAGCTGAATTCAATGGTGTAAATTAAAATTCGATTATTTTACTCTGAAAAGAGTTATTATTAATTTAATGAATAGATGTCACACATGGCGGCCATCTTGGATTTACGACGTCATAAAAACCAAACCCCGCAATTTGAGGGTAAACACCCGGTACTACACCATTATGTGACATATAATAAAGAGATTCCACATAGTCACACATTCCCTTCACAAAAAATCCCACGGAATACAGTTTGCCCCCCGACTACTACCTTTAGTAACGGAAAAGAGGTTCAAGAACAATTCTTCTTCAGGGCAAGGACACGCTGTGGGAGGGTGGAGTGCGGAGTGTTGGAGTTATCTGGAGTCCTCTACTGAAGTCAACTCCCAGAGTTCACAGAGGCCTGGTCAATGTACAGGACTGGCTGCCTACATTACTGGAGGCTGCAGGAGTTGGCAACCAAACATTGGGTTGGTACCATTGATTAAATTGGTCTCAATAGAATCATTATACAAATTTTGAGCAATGACGGGCAAACTCTTTTTTCTGTCCGAGGATTTTAGATTTCTTTCTCTAATGTGGAGTACCAGTATTTGGCCATGATAAATCAATTGAAGTTGGTCACAAGGCTGGAAAAATCCAGTTACCGTCCTACAGCCCTTGAAAGTACACATCGTCAATACCTTTTTGTAGCTGCAATTAACCAAAACAGCTGATTCAGGTTATTAGCAAATTTCCCATATAGGGAATAAGCTATTACCGTAGGTCTCATGGTAAGACCTAGACCCGGGACTGATTTACTTTTTTGTTTTGAGGTCCCCAGAGACCAAAAACACCATCCGTTCTAATTCATATATATGTGTCCGTTAGCGCGATAACTCGAGCGAAAATGATCTAATTTTGATGAAATTTGGTACAAACGTGTAAACCTACGTTTATTTGAACGAGTTTGCGAACCAGCATAATCGGACCATGGGAACAGTGGTTTATGGGGGGTTTTATGGGGTAAAAATGGGTTTTTCCCATTTTTTACCCTAAATTTTGCAATTTCTTTCTCTACCATTTTGTGGAGCTTAAAAAAAGAAATAATTTAGTATATTGAAGCGCTGTTGTATGCCTAACGGTCACGGAGAAAATAAAAAAAGTGTAATTTAAAATTCCCATGATATTCTTATGGAGAAAATGAAAACTGTTGTAGTTTACTTGTTTATGGATATATGTTGAGAAAAATTGGCAAATTTATTTATTTCATCTATACTATTGACATATGGTAAAAAAACACACTTTTTACCTTCCCCCGTAGCAGCAAACCTAAGCACTTGTCTATAATATTAAAACGAAACAGTGTTTTTTTATTTCACGATTCTGAATCAACCACTCGACGGATTTTCATGATTTTTGTGTTGAAAGAAAGATAATTTTGAGAACTAGGGAATGTCGAAGCCATAAATTTAGTTTAGGGCCCCAGTTTTTTAGAAATTAAGTTTTAATTTTTAAAAAGTCTAGCAGCCGACGCTAAGATTCTAAACTAGCTTTTGGCATAAAATAATTTGCTTAACATAACAGCTGTAAACATTCAGCTTTTGTGTCACAAATTCAGCATTTGGATAAACACGTAAAGACATACTTAGGGTTGACTTATTTATACTATGTGTAATGCAAATCATTGATACGTTCAATTCTTCTGTAAGAGGATGACAGATTAATTAAATTATACATAGTAAAATACTAGGATGTTCAAATTATTTTTTTAATGCAATCTTTGTAATCTTCGATTTGTTTTAGAGCAATATACTTTGTTTTAACTAACAGCTGGTTAAATATAAACTATGGAACTATGAGGTTATTTTATTTACTCTTTAAAGAAGATCAAGAATAATCAGGAATCACGATTTTAAATTACCACCACAACCTCAGCCGAGTTTTATACAAAGATTGAACACAACGTCAACATTGACCTAGGATACTGCAATTAGACAAACCATCCTTTTATGAAATCGTGTTCAGTGTGGTTACGTTTGGGGGTGCCTATCAGCGCCCCCAAACGTGAAAATATCACTTTTATTTCAACTATGAATATATTGTAGTTTAAATTAACTAATATGGGAAATTACGATGTACACTTATTCAATGAGGGTGGGTAATTATTAAGGATAGAACTGATAACGGTATGGATAATAAACATTGCCAATTACGTCATTTGCTTTACTAACGTGTTTACTTTTTATATTCCTGCTACATGTGACCAGTTCTTTTTTTTTAATGAATGTTATTTGAACCAAACAGCTGTTTCAAAACAAACTGTTATTGTTTTTACTTTTGTTTGTTTACACTTATTTATTTAGCAATTAATGCAGTGAAATTGATATAGAGGATAGGTGTGACGATTTATGTGTACTGTGAATTTTATTGGATATTATCGTTTTATTTTAGGTTGTTTCTATTCAGACCTACTGGAAATTGTGTATATAGTTGTTGTATTGTGGTGATAATAATTATGGAAGAGGCAGGTATGCTATGGAAGGTGGTATCGTTGACCAAGTCTATACACTTCGCAATTGACTATTACTCTCTCGACTGTAGGCTACTTATAATCAGTGTGCGTCTGTGCGATTCGGCTGCAAATCTCACTTCAACGCTTTTCACATCGTAAAAATTGCAGAATTGCTGTTTTATTGTAAAATTATCGGATTTAAAATGCAAATCGTATAGGCCTATGATGGAATAAAAACATATTTGGTCACACAACATTTGTTTACAAGATGATTTTTCACATTAAAACTGCAAGAAACTTTGTCTTTATATGTGTAAACTAGCTGATCTGAATTGTACACGATTTTAACTGACTATACTGAATTCCCGTACGTAGGACGGGCTAACACCTCGTTAAATCTAATAATGTTATTTAAATTGGGAATAAATATGTCTTATTTATGGTAGTATTTTAGTAAAAATTTAATCAGACAAGTTGAAATTCACTTAGTCTGCAGGTTTGCTGCGGCGGGGGTATTTTTATTATCATCACTTGATTTGATGTGTAAACAAAAAATTGTATTGATTAGTTTGGATTAAACATTTAGTTATATTCAGTTTTGATTCATTAGGTACCGTATACATTTTAGTGTTATTTTCAAGATTAAGAAGGAAACACGAAAGACCTTCGAAGCGAAAATAATATACAGAATCTGCAAGGGAGAGAAGCTACAATCGATCCTCAGGAAAAAATTTGATTTCTTAGTCTACAACCGATCCAGTTCCAACCAGCTTATACATCTTACAAATATCTCAGTCAAGTTGCGAATTGAATACCTAATAAAAGTAGAGAAATAATTTCAGATCATATGGCCCAGCAAAATGAAGAACAAGGGGCCAATCGTCTTGAGCAGGAGCGACAAGCGTCAACAAATCACTGCTCAACGTTTGGAAGAACCTCAGTGGAGTGCAATTCTGTGTACATGACCATGGCTCATTGAACTTTATAGCCATACATTACAATCATATCTTTCAAATAAATTTGTTTATATGGTCACTTGTATTTTGCTTAATTTTGTAAGCTTTTATTGTTTTATGACTTTCGCTTTTACAAAGTTGTGTATATATTTTGCAGCCCATAGTCAGTTGGACGGAGTGAGCCAGTGGTCTGCTCTAAACAACCAATCAGAACCCCCATACACAACAATGCTGCATAACATTGATCCAATCAGGAACATCGCAGCTGTCAGAGATGGGGAATGGAAACTTGTTGTAGGTATGAATCGTAATTCAAGCACGAATTTTATCAATGCCTTAAAAAAGTGTTATAAAGGTTAAGTGGTTAATGTGTTGAATTTTGTTACTGGATCTGCTTTCCTCGTTGGAAATCTTGAGAGGAAAGAAGGACAAGGTTGGATGGGAAGGTACAGTAGACTTCCTCTTATCAGGACTCCTTGGGACCGAGGCCAGTCTGGATAACGGTTTTGTGGTTAAACCGACGTCCCCAAAAACTCGTTAAAACGGACCATTGGAATGCATACTGTATACAGTATTTGAATTAAATTTAGGAGAGCATTGTAATTAGACATGTGATCACTGATCTCAAATCTTTCCCACGAGAACAGTCGTTTCAGTACCGCCCACTTCCTACCGATCTAGTCCGGTTTAAACGATGTGCTGATAAAAATTGTCCGGTTAAAGAGATGTCCTTTCCACCGAGTCGGTTAACCGATGTCCAGTTAAAAGAAAAGGTGTCCGGATAAGAGGAAGTCTACTGTATCTAAAACTGGTCTGAAGAAGAATTTTCATTCCTTCATTGACTTACGGATTATCTTTCTACGAATTGGTTCACTAAACCTCCAACAGATGCATGATTGTAAATGATACCTAAATAAATATCTACTGTCATTTAAAAAGCTTCTTTATTTCACCGATACCTCTTTATTTTAACTCGACATCTTAAATCAACTTTCGAGTATGAAAGCATTATATACTTATGGTTTTTTTTAAATAAATAAATAACCTTCTTTAGTTTGGTTGTTAACATTCAAAAGAGTTAGTTTTAACTAAGGTGAAATAACAAGAAAAGTTTATTACAAGCACAGCACAAAAACAATGGGAAATGTTTATGATGGTTGTGTGAAAGAAAATATGATATCCTATTTTGGCTTGACAGGAAGAGTCCATGGAGGCAAGTATGATGGATGGTTTGGGAGAGTAACATCAAATCTTCAATACAACATGAGCCAAGTAAGAAGCAGTCTAGTAGGCCAGGCAGTACAGACTACACCCTTTTCTGTGCCTGATGACTCTGTCGTTCTTAGGCTAAGGAATGAAGCAACTGTGCACTGTACTAAAACTAGAGGCAAGTATCACAGTAATAAGTATTTCACATACTAAATTTCTAAAATTTTCATAAAATTTGTCCAGTTTAGAGTAAGGAATTTTTCAATATTGAAATTTTTGTTTATATTATATTTGTGGCTTTATTAGATCGGTTCATAAAATTTTAATGTTTTTCTCTTCCTTCGATGGCAACACATTGTTCAATGTGATATTTGGCCTCACCAATGCACTACCATCAATACTTGTTTATGGCTTCTACTTTGGCATCTTCCTATTCACATCACTCACTTATTGTTCCTCCATCTATGTTTTTTAGGTTTTTGACTTCCTTCTGTGTCAAATTTTCTATTCTGTATGATTCTTCTCAGATCATTTCCTATGATTCGTAACATTTATTTCAGTATTTGTAACAACATAAAAGTATAAGGATATTGTGTTCTATGGTGAGAGGGTTCTTGTCAGAAGAAAATCAATTTATAATTTGTATCAATAATTGATGGTGCTTTTAGTATTATGAAGAATATCTCTGCCTAAGATAAACTAAAAACTTCCAACTGTACGACCTTAAGGGTGTTTGGTCAAAAATTTGATGTCTTATTTTTTGTTATTGTTCAATTGTACTAAAAATTAGAGATACAAATATGTAAGAAAAAAATATTTATTTTGAATATTAAGCGAGATATGGAGCTTGAAAGAAGTAAATTTTTAAATCTTTGGTACCAGTTCACAGGGAGAATGGGTAATGCGATTCTCACCAAAATTTGCATTCAGGTGTGGAAAAATAAGATAATAATCACTAGCTATTTAAAATTAAAATTTAAAAAAAAAATTTATTTTTTATTTTTTATAAATTTTTTAAAAATTAAAAAATTTTATTTAAAAAAAATTAAAAATAGCTGTTTGTTTTTGGGAAAAATGTATCTGTATGTTGGAATATAAAAAAATGTTATATGTTAACTCGTTTGGGCTGTGAATTTGTACCTTTGATGCCTTGCGCTGTCGGAGCACTACTCGTTGAGAGTGTGTACACTAACACCGGGGCTTTAGAATACAACGATAAACGTATTCTTTCAATGTTAAGGGATGTTAATAATTACGTGATGTTAAAGTATTCTAAAGCCCCGGTGTTAGTGTACAAACTCTCAACGAGTCGTGCTCCGACAGCGCAAGGCATCAAAGGTACAAATTCACAGCCCAAACGAGTTAACATATAACATTTTTTTATATTCCAACATACATATACATTTTTTCCAAAAACAAACAGCTATTTTAAAATTTTTTAAAGTAACATTTTTTAATTTTTTAAAAATTTATTAAAAATAAAAAATAAATTTTTTTTTTAATTTTTAATTTTAAATAGCTAGTGATTATTATCTTATTTTTCCACACCTGAATGCAAATTTTGGTGAGAATCGCATTACCCATTCTCCCTGTGAACTGGTACCAAAGATTAAAAATTTACTACTTTCAAGCTCCATATCTCGCTTAATATTCAAAATAAAAAAAATTTTCTTATATATTTGTATCTCTAATTTTTAGTACAATTAAACAATAACAAAAAATCAGACATGAAAATTTGCGACCAAACACCCTAATAATATTATAAAACATAATTGTATGATAAGCTTTTGATCAGAAAATTTGCTCCTTAAAAATATATTTAAAAAGACATTTAATAGTATATTTCTCTAGTCACGAAAGTGACCCATTTCGCACCCTCGTCTTCGACTTACATGTCAAACACTATCTCGCCCCGAAATGGGACTTTCGTGACAAGTATTGAACGATACTTTTTATCACCATGAAAAAAAAACTACATTTGAGTTAACCGGGAACTTCAGTTGTAACTTTGTTGATGTCAGGCAAAGTATTGTTTGTGTAGGGAAAGTAATGAAAAGTCAGCTGACCGCACTACAGTATTTGTTTTTGGTGTATGGAAATTGATGATTTTCAAAGATCATCCCATTTTGACTTGAGTTATTACATAACTTACAGCTGTATATGAGCTGTATGGAAATTTGCTATTTTCGAATAGAGAGTGATGAACAAAATATTTTTGTTACACATATTTAAAAAAAATTTAATAGGGTAATTACTGAATATATTTCTCATTTAAAAAGGGATTAAAATGTTTAATTTTTTGCAGGTAAGAAATCCAAAAAAGACAAGTGTCGGTCGATGCGAGCTCCATGTTTGTTCAACATTTTGGCCGACCCTTGCGAGCAGAAGAACAAGGCCCTGAGGAACCCCGATGTTGTGACTCGATTGACCCACCTGCTGAAGGGGTTTCATCACGTCAAGCCCTGTAACAAGCCTCGTGACCCCCGCAGCTACCCTAATCTTTGGAATGGAACTTGGACTACTTGGGGGGATTTTTTATCTTCAAATTCTTAGAACGGAATATGTTCAGGGCTCTACCCAGCTTTAGCAGTACCGGGACCGGGTAAAAATATTGGGCTGGGCCCCCCTTCCCTTGAGGTATTTGTTTGGCGGAGCCCGTCCTGGGGCCCCGGTAAAATTGTCCGGAAAAACCGATCTGCGTACGGCCCTGAATGTTAGAGTTAGAGATCAACTTTAGTTAGAAAGAGAAGCAAGGCAAATTAAAATACAGGATTGAAAGATCGGAAAGACATTTATCTAGGTAAATAAAGGTAAAGAGGTAAATGTACCAGTAGAAAGTGGAATTCTAGATGTATAAATGACTATACCTTACCTTCAATATGTGTGCAAGAAAATGCAAATGTGTAGTATTTTGTATCGTTAAGTTTTTTTATCAAGTCGTTTAAAAACATAACTTTTTTTCTGCTTAAGTAAGTTAGTGTTAATTTAATAACTTTTAATCTCACACCAATTAAAGCCTAATGTCCTGATGGAATTTACTTGCGAAATCTACACCACACCACAACACAAGAAGCTGTGGGAACCCAAAAATCTCCAGGTTTTGTTTGAGTTAAATTAAACAAAGTTCTAGTTATTTTTATGTCATATAAAATGTCAAATAAACTCCCACTCAAAGTGCATAATTTGTCATCTACCCACTGGAACATACAAGCAAGCTCCTTTGCTTTTGAAGAAGGGGTTTTTCTCTAGAATGAATTCTTTGATGACCCAACCTTGAACTTATAATCCTTATATATTGTCTCTGCTGGCCAAATTAGAATTTTAATTTATTTGTAATTATTGTGGCGCCTTTACCTGTGTGAGTGAGCGAAAAAGTATAAAAAGTATTATTAGAGGATCTGCTCGGATGATCTCTGGTGAAGTATTGCTGTCAAGTAAAAACTTAAAGCCTTGAATGTCTTAAATCGTAACTGATGAGGTTCTTAAAAAAAAGAAAATTGAAGACAATTGACCTGTATAAAATTTATTTGTATATTGTAAAAATGTTATACATAGATAATGTCTTTTCAGTGAAATAAACATTTAAATTCTTTTTTAACTGTAACAATAATACATTTTCAGTTTAAATTTTTTTAACATTCAGAATAAAATTCCCAGAATAACTTTCTCTGGTTTACACTGCATGGTATGAAAATGAAAAGAAGATCATTTATTTTTTACCTCGTTAAGTGTATTCATCAAACTGACGACTCGTAAAATATAACTTGTACAACTTGTGGTTTAACACTGTGCTTGTGCAACTCCTCTGCTAGCTGCTGTACTGCTTGCTCCCAGTCTTTGGGCTTCTTATCTCGTGTGAAGTTGACCACAGTAATGATCCTGGAAATCAATAAAAATTAGTTTTTTATTTGGGTGTGTAAATTATACTACCTTTTGCTACTTCAACCATTTGGAGTTTTGAAGCACTACTACTCATCTCAGACCATCATATTTTGGCTCTTGGCAAAAACCTAACAGCTGTAACTCTCGTTTTTATTATTTCCTTTGACCTTGTGTTCAAATTTATTGGAATTTTAACCCTTTATCGACTAGAGATGGACAGTTCAGCCAAAAATATGTGACATAACTCAGAATAGTTAGTTAGCAAATTGTACATGAACCATGATTAGATTGTACAAACTTTCAAGTATTGCTCATGATTTTGAGAGCTATCAGAGACTTGAAATTATAATGAAAAACTGATGATAGTTGATAAGAGTACTTCCTCAATAATCTAAATGGTACTTGATTGACTTAGCCATCAGCTTGTTGTATTGTTATCTACAACGTCTTATTGTGAATAAGGCTTAAAAGAGTACAGTTTGTTTCACAAGTTAAAAACCAGTTCCCACATGTTTACATAAGTATGTTTGTTTTACAAACCTGGGGCGAGTCACTCAGTATGAGTCACCCAGGCGATGAGCACTTTTTCCTATCACTGCACTGGGGGTATGGATATCAATTGGATATAATTTTTGATCGTACCGACCACTCTATTGTTTATTGACACTTGTAAGAAAGAAACTAACAAGTCCATTCAATAGTCGATGAAACATTTCGATTTGATTTGACAAACCTATATGACGCTTCCCGGAGCTAGGAAAATATCTTCACCAAACGGAGCCTGCCAGCTGTTCTGTCATCTGCTCGTGCATGCACACTCTAGCATCTATTGCACTAGCATCTTTTGCAATAGCATCTTTTTGTTTGGTTTTTAACGCAAACAAATTTGTTTGTAGGGCCAACAACTTTTTTTTTTTTTTTCAACAGATCTAGTTTGCTATAAATTTAATAAATTTATAAGTAAGTTATTTATTAGATACTGGAATCACAGTTGAAACCTTAATGTCAAACCTTTCTTGACATAAAATTAAAGATTTACGTTTAATGTAATCTACTATCTACAATACACACTCTTTGAGATTGCAAAATTACCATGTTGAGCCTAATTATATTATACATATAATAATGCAACAATATAATCAGCTGATCATCAATGAAGTTACCAAATTATGAGCTAGTTTTAGCGAATTTCCCATATAAGGGATAAGCTATCTATTACCGTAGTACTCATGGTAAGACCTGGACGCGGGACCGATTTTTTTCGTTTTGAGGTCCCTGGAGGCCAAAAACACCATCCTTTCAAATTTATATGGGTGAATAAAAAGTCAAGACCCCCCCATCTAATATTTTTCCAAGTAAATATACAGAGATATCCTTTTGGTGGTCGTGCAAGCTTAGCAGGAAGTTTCATTTTATGATTTTGAAATTTTTGAGTGTCCCTCCAAAAGGGGGGATTTGGGGGGTAACTCAAATATTTTAAATGTAAACCCCCTTCAAGTGACATCTCATTTTGAAGTGTTTACAAAAACTTAAAGAATGGAAACTTAAAGAATGGGGAAGAGATAGCGACCTCTAGTTTTCACCATTCTTTAAGTTTTTGTAAGCTCTTCAAAATGAGGTGTCACTTGAAGGGGGTTTACATTTAAAATATTTGAGTTACCCCCCAAATCCCCCCTTTTGGGGGGACACTCAAAAATTTCAAAATCATAAAATGAAACTTCCTGCTAAGATTGCACGACTACCAAAAGGATATCTCTGTACATTTAATGGGAAAAATATTAGAGGGGGGGGGTCTTGACTTTTTATTCACCCTGTATATGTGTGTGTGTGTCCATTAGCACGATAACTTGAGCAAAAATGTTTCGATTTTGATGAAATTTGGTATAAACGTGTAAACCTACATTTATTTGAACGAGTTCGCGAACCAGCATAATCGGACTATGGGAACAGGGGTTTACACAGGGGGGTTTTATGGGGTAAAAATAGGGTTTTCCCATTTTTGAGCCAAAAAACATAAAATTTAGCAATTTCTTTCCAAATCATTTTGTAGAGCTTAAAAAAAACAAATAATTTAGTATATTGAAGAGTTATTATGCGCCTAATGGTTACAGAGAAAATTCCAAAAAAATTTAAATTTATAATGTTTTTATTCTTATGGAGAATAAGTAAACTGTTGTAGTTTGCTTGTTTATGAACATATTTTGATCAAATTTGGAAAATATTGTTATTTCTTACTAACTATTAACATTTTACAAAAAAACGGTTTTACCCTCCCTGATGCAGCAAACCTAAGTACTTGTTAAACTAATTCTATTTAAATAGGGAATAAATGTTATATTTTCAAGTAGAAATTTTAGTGCAAGTCCAATCAGGCAAATGGAAATTCGCTTAGTCTGCAGGTTTGCTGCGGGGCGGGTATTTTTTATCTCGTGTAATTCAGGTTGCACAAAAAATACCCTGTAAAAATGTATAGTATATTTCATCACTAGGGCGTAAAGTGACTCTTTTTGACCCGAGCTCAAGTTTTAAGACCCAGGTGAAGCTGAGGTTGGAAAATGAATGAGGGTTGAAAAGACACTTTTTGCCTGTGTGATGAACTATGTTTTCGTCATATTACACCATTGTTTAAGCAAACTAAGTTAGAAAACGACAAAACCTTTCATACAAAGATAAACTCTCAATACGACTTTTGACAAAGGATACAGAAAAAACAGGTATTCACACAACTTGCTTAGAGTACACAGAAAGTTGTAAACAATAGACTAAGTAGCAGAGACCTGCGCAAGTCAGATTGTACGTCAGATCGTTGGTCTGCCATACGGCCGAGGGTCTCTGCCAAGGCTTGTAGATGACGCCAGGACTGTGAGTACTGCTGTCTCACCAGCTCTATGATGGTGGACGTTAGACTCAGTCCCAGCAGGATGTAAAGTGTACACAACAACATGTACTGCGGAGTACCTGTAGAAAACATGTGTAACGTCTTAAAAATACAAACATTCTAAGACTTTGGTAGAAGAGTGGTGTTTTCGATCATCTTTACTAGCTTTTCCTAGGTAAGCTAGCTGAACATTATCCAATTTGAATCAAAATTCCTTATTAAATACTTAGTTTGCTTCTTAACAGTGCTCGACTTGCAGGGAACACAGTTCTGGTACCTCTCTTTCGGACGATAAAAATATTGGCATTAATAGGTACAAAATCACATTAAATAGGTTTCAGTTCCTGCAACTACGAGGGTTGTTTTTTTTTCAACCTCCGATAGGCTATGAACAAAAGACAAGTTCATATAAAACATTAAATTTATTACCAAAAGTTTGGTCCATTTATGGTTACTTTTTGACATAATCACCAAAGAGATTGAGACATTTGCTATATCTGTTAACCAGCTTTTTAATTCCCTCTTCAAGAAAAGTGGCCGCCAGTACATTCAAAAAACAAAAGAATTCAAAAAAACAAAAAAATTCAAAAAAAAGAAAAATTCAAGAAAAAATAAAAAAAGACTTTAAAATTTCTAGAAATTCAGTAAACAAAGCAATAATGGTGAATCTGTGGTTTATTTAACCATCCTGTCAAACTGTTGAACCAAGTAATCTGAAACGACAGTGAGCTGGTTCAACAAGTTGGCAGAATGGTTAAATAAACCACAGATTCACCATTATTGATTTGTTTACTGAATTTCTAGACATTTTAAAGTCTTTTTTTTATTTTTTCTTGATTTTTTAATTTTTTGACATTTTTTTGTTTTTTGAATTTTTTTTGTTTTTTGGAATGTACTGGCGGCCACTTTTCTTGAAGAGGGTATTAAAAAGCTGGTGCACAGATATAGCTAATGTCTCAATCTCTTTGGTGATTCTGTCAAAAAGTAACCATAAATGGACCAAACTTTTGTTAATAAATTTAATGTTTTATATGAACTTGTCTTTTGTTCATAGCCTATCGGAGGTTGAAAAAAAAACAACCCTCGTATTTTTTTACAAATCGAGCACTGCTTCTTAATAGGCAAACTTTGACTATGATATGGATTAAATAGAAATTCCATTCCAATGTTAAAAGTGTAGCTATAATAAAAATCAACGCAATTGGATTTTACCACTAACATTGAGGGCTTTGAGAAGGAAACCTTAAATATATTTATAAGTTATCATTAAATTTACCAAGATGCTGGATTTTGAAATGATTCCTGGAAGGGGTTTGTGTTCACTAACGATTTTAAATAGCTGTGATTATTAAATTTTGTGAAAGCTCAATTTATAATGATTAAATCTTCTCAATGCCTCTTACTTGGAACAAGATCTCCAAATCCGATAGTTGTCATGGTGACAAAGCAGAAATAAAATCCATCGAAGAACGTCCATTCCTTCTCCCAAGATATGAAAACGATCGAGCCAATGGCAATGTAAACAAGCAGTATGGAGGTAGCTAGTGCGGCGGAGGCCAGCGATCTCTTCAGTCCAGAGGCCTCGGGCATGCTGGGTAGCGAGCTAGCGAGCAGCGAGCCGAGGTCTGCTAGCACGCTCAAGGTCAAGGGGATACCCACAAGAGCATACATCATACAGAACAGACGGCCCTCCATGGTGGAAGGGGTGATGTTCCCGTAACCTGAAAGTATAATAACTATCAGCCAGTAGAGTTGATGGGTAAAGGAGAAATAATGTATTCAAAGAAGCTAAATGATGTTTAAAGAGAAGGGGTGCAAAACAATAAACAAAATTTTCTGGTTTTCATTTTACTCATGTAATATTTAATTTGTTTTAGTAAAATTATGAAGTACCTTAGTACCTAGTATCCAAAGTCAATGCTAGTATTCAATTACTCGTTTTAACAAGAGGGTAATAGATTATAACAAGACCAGTGTTCGATCCAATCCCTCAAAAAAGTTGAACTTTCAATACTTTCATAGGAAATACTACAAAGGGATCATTGTGGAAGACAAGAAGTAAATGGGCCCAATTTTGGAGCAGCTCAGTCCGTATTTAGACCTGCAACAATATCACAGACTTTATACCCAGGTATTAGGCACATCAGAACCACTCTACTGGCTCGTTATAATGGTCAATGGCTTAAATTTCTTGTTTGACAGGAGTACGTATTTGATTAGTACAGGAGCTGGGTAGCTGAGTGTTAAGGTGCTTCCCTATTAATCAGGGGTTTCTCGTTAGATCCTGGGAAAAGCATAATTACAGTCGGGACCACGAGAGTCTGCAGTTGGCGTCAGCCAATCACAAGACAGGGCTAGTGCTACATTGCCATATCGCATGTTGACAAAACTATGTAATATATACTAAGCAATATTTTCAAATCAGCTGGTATTATTAGATTTGGCAATAACGCACGGTCCTCATTGGCTCCTTCGAAGTCACGTGGTAAATAGGCTCCTCCCTCAACTGCAGACTCTTGTGGACCGTACTTACTGTTAGTGGTTAAAAACTGGACTCAGCTTTCCTTAATAATTGGGTATTCAATCAATAATAGGCCAATAAGCCAACTGATCTTTTATTTAGCTATCCTTTGTTTTAAAATACGCACCTTGGTGTGTTGACGTAAATATAATCTAAGCTGAGCCATATGACATACTTTGGGTGGACGGGTGGTTATATAAAGGTGCAAGTAACATTTTGAGACATTTATTTTTGTCCTAAAAAGTTTTGGACTAAAATTATCTCCTATAATAAAATAAAAGCTGTTTTGTATAAACGAGAATGTAGAAACTCACCGATCGTTGTAAGGACAGTAGAAGCAAAGAAGACAGCCTGCAGATAGCTCCAGCGGGCTAAGCTATGGATGTGAGTTGTGTCTGATAGAGGTAGCTGAACACCTCCCTTGGCTACCTCTTGTACTACTACCTCATACCTGAACATCGCAGAAAAAACAGCATTTTAATAATATGTTATATTGCCTTACTGTCTTTAGTGATTGCTTATTGCACTAGTTTTACGTCATGGTTTCCACTCCAGAAGTAAAATAGTAAATTTGTTGGAGCAGCTTTTCCCAAACTATTTGACTCACTAGTAAATCACAGGAAAAATGTTGGGCATATTGCATCTGTAGGTACCCAAACTTGACGCAAACGCAATTTTTTGTTTCAGGATGCTAGGCACAAGTCCAATAGGATTGATCTTCAAATTATTCTAGACCTAGGGGTTGGGGCATTATCACTTAGATAAAATCCATGGTGATCTGGTGAGATTTGAACCCAGGACCTCAGGGACCAAACTCTCACGCTCTACCACTAGACCAGCTCGCTCTCCAAACCTAAGGGGAAAGTATATTCAGTACATTCACAATTTAACCGTGATTCCGAAGTTGTGTTATTTTTAGATAGATGAGATTTTAACAGTCTTGAGGTTTTCCAGGATGGGGATCTCCCCACGCTAATCATTCACAGAAGGTGTTTTAAATGTGTGCAATCAAACAACCATAGTTTTTTCCAACTGCAGGAGGTGATCATTATGTCAGTATACAAGCAGGAGAGCAGTACGATGACACTATGTCTCCTCTATTCAAAAGTATATTTCTCGGTAGACCATCTTCTATATATATAAAAGGCAAAGCCCTCACTGACTGACTCACTCATCACTAATTCTCCCACTTCCCACTTACCTAGGAGGCTGAAATTTGGTACACTGATTCTTTAGGCATTAAATAGGAAAACTAAGTGGTTTTTATTCTGATCGGACTCTCGGGCTCCACCCCAGTGGCTCTGGAGTTTCCCATGTTAACCTAATGAGTACTCATATTTAAATGGAATTAATGAATCATAACAGCTGTTTCAATTAAACAAGTTGGTTCTGTTCTATAATGTTCAATAGCATTAAAGTTACAAGGATTACCAACAGAGTGCAGCACTATTATTTTTTTTAAATATTTGACAACAGCTAATTTTAAACCAAAAGGTGAGTGAGCGTAGCGAACGAACTTCAACCCGGAGGCGAGGTAGCGTAGCGAACGAGCTAACCTGAAGGCAAGTGAGCGCAGCGAACGAGCTCCAACCGCAAAGGTGAGTGAGCGTAGCGAACGAACTTCAACCAGGACGTGATTGAGCCATGCGAACGAGCTCACATATGAAGTTAAACGGGGCAAAGCCCGCGGGTACAGCTAGTTTTATTAATAAAATATAATATATTACTATACAAATTATTTATAATGATTTAATAGTAATACTATAGATAAAACATACTCCCTTAGTAGATTTCCCATCCTTATGGAACAGCTGAAGCCAATTTTACTGTTAGTTCTGTCCGGTGTACTGTAGAGTCGTGTTTTGTTTACAATTCGCATCTTGCTATTTCAGTAATTTAAAATCTCGTTTAATCAAATAAAACTATCCAATCATAAACAATAACTTGTCTACTAGCTATATAACCAAACAGTGAAGCACAAATCATAAGAAACTAACCCTAAAATAATAGAAACAAATTGTAAACAAAACACGACATCGTCGACCTCTACAGTACACCCGACAGAACTAACAATAAAATTGGCTTCAGCTGTTCCATAAGGATGGAAAATCTACTAAGATGTATGTTTTATCTTTGACTATTAATACAACAACACTTGTGGGATGCAAATAATTCAAGATTGAAGTGAGTCAAAGTGTGGGAACACCTGTAAAGTAATAATTAAGGGTGTGTTTGGTGTATTTGTTTTTATACCTGGCAAGCGCCTGATCATACTGGATGTAAGAGAGGGATCCATTGTACATGTCCCAGAGAAGCCACCTTCGCTCCTCTCTCACTTGCGACTCAAGCTGACGTAGTCGGCTCAACTCATCCGGGTACTCTAAGTGACGGAATATCTATGGTAACATGTTATGGTAAAAATTGAGGTACTTGTATCACATACCAACACTAAATTAGAACATAGTGTTAACACTTTTTTATATTTTAGTTTATATTTATAGATTCAAATGCAATTTTTCACAAGATTTCTTCATTTTCATTGCGTCGACCGTTAATAAATAATACATATACATCACAAGACATGATACAAAACCATAAAAAACTGGCGGCCGACTTGAGTCAGTCCAACAAGAAATTGTATTGAAGTCAAGCATGTCTTTCAGCAGAAAGCTTTGATAATAATTTTTGACTTGTCTATCCAGGGTATTTGCTAACATTTTTTAAATTGAAATACATTATAAATTAAATCTCAAAGTGTTTACTCGTTTAGGTTCGTTTTGCTAAACATTGTCTTGTTAAAGACAAAATGCACATTTTTTATGAAACAAGCAGCCACAAGCATCAGCAAATAAAGTAGACCTTCTTTAATAAATCATTATAATGCCAATGTCTGTAGCGTAGCTTAAATCTGATATGCTTGAACTCTTGCCTAAGGTGCCTGAAGAATAAGAAGCATTTTACTTCACAAAATAATTTAACTTAAAAACCATATTGTATTTCTCGTTTGTAATAATAGTACAAAATAGTTCTTTGTAGCCTATGATATTCTTCCAACGTAAATTGTAGCGGTTTCCATTTATTGACTCATGTGCCTCCTCTTTTTCATAACTGGCTTCTATATAGGCTTATGTTACTTTTTTGTACAACTTTGTCTTATTTTTTGTGATTTGGCAATAACATAATATTACTAAAATAATACCCAAATTCATACAAAATCCTACACCCATATATGTTGTCTATTTCCATTTAAAAAATCACTCATTGCAGTTCCTTCACATAGATTGAGCTTTGGTAAAATATTTACTTAAAAATGAACTTGTGTTTTCAAAAGAACTGTGTGTGAGTAGAAGAGAGTTGTCTGCGCAAACAAAGGAGGTTGTTGTTTCAACAGTCTAAGTATACTCTATGACGTAAAACACAATCATTTCAAAACCAATGTTTGACTGTATTGAAACAACATTTGTCATAAATTCTACAGTGTTTTGGAATACTTTGAAGTTCTCAGTTATTGAGATTTTACTTAATTTTAAACCAGTAGGTTACAAATCTATTTATTTTAAGATTTGGATTTTTAACTATGTTTCAACCAGTGTTGTGAGTAATTTTTCTTTTTGTAAAAACATTAATTTTTTACTCGCTTGACATGTAAATTTATTTCCTTGCCCCAGTGGCCCAAATGGGTCTGTAGGGGCCTTATCACCCCCACTGTACAGCACTCGTGCTACAACCTGTATCAATTATGTGATAGCCATACGCAGGCATAAAAAGATTTTCATCATACAGCAAAAACAGCTTTTTCCAATACATATGTTAAAGGTCTAAAGTACTTCAGTAGCTCTTTTCTTCTCTAGGGTGAAAACAAATCATCTGGATTTGTTTGAGGACATCCCCTGTACATTTTTTCCCTATGACGGTTGTTAACTTCAATTAAGAAATCGGTCAACTTTAAATGAGCATTGTGACAACAATTTTACCATCAAGTTTAAAGTTTATCAAGACTAACCAATCCTCCTAGGGCTGTGTAAACAATGAGAGCAACAAACAGCCCAACATGACTTGTAGCTGCTTTGTACCATCTCTTAACAGCTGATAGTCTCACAGAAGGATTCATGTTCTTCTTCTCCTCCTGTCTGCCAGCTGACACTCCATTCTCTGCAATCAGCTGATCCTTGACACCCATCACTGGTTCTTCTCCTCACTGTAAGTGTTATATGAGGTTCAATAAGATCTGAACTAAGTGTTTTTTTTTCTAATGCAATTTCAATAATGTACATTAGAAATTTGTGTTAACAAGGTAATTTGTCCTCAAAAGTAGTATTCAGCAAATATATAGGCCTAAGCTTTTTTCCCAAAAGTTTTGAGTTTGTAGCTCTAAATATAACTAATTTAGAATACCCAAAATACTCTTTATACAAAGTAATCAAATTGTGTGAATCAAAAGTAAATTAATCTGCTGAATATAGCTAGACATAGATAGCTATATTTTATATTCATCATTATTGAAAAGGGTTGATTTTATAAAAAAATGTTTCAAATGCAGATAGTCCAATCAAAATAAGAATATAAATACAATGTAGAGGACTTTTTTCAAGTTTGGCTGATTAATTTTTGGAAAAACTAAGGATATTTAATTAGTATTGGTACAAAGGATATAAATCACATAAACACTAAACATAACAATTAAAATAAATTTTAGTTTTATTTTTATTACTTAGGGGTTAATATTAACTTGTTTCTAAAGACTTAAACTTTAAAATACCCCCACCGCAGCAAAGCTGCTGACTAAGAGAATTTATATTTATCTAAATCGGTTTTCAATCCATTTGAATAACATTAGGTTAAACGAGTACCTAGGTTTGCTGCTACATGGAGGCTAATAAAGTGTGTATTTTAGTAAAATAATTTCCCCTATAGGAAAATTCTCTAAAACTAAACTAACATGTATTAAGTACATTTATTATTTTGTTTTATAGTTCAAAAGCTTACCCTTGCAGCTGAAGTGACTAGAGCGCCAACTGACAGCCAACAATCACTGGAACTGGTAAAAATAGTTCTCCGAATGACACCACGAATAGAAGGCATAAGTGCATGTTGAAGTTCTGTACAGTTTGGAGTCTAAGTTTGGTACAGTCTGGAACTTAAAAGCTTTGTGTTTTCTAAGCTTCATCTGTGTATGACTTATGATTTTATTGTAAAATTTTAAAACCTTTGTTGCTGGCTTAAACAGGCGCTGAGTGTACTTTAGTTTGCTGAAAAAAATAAAAATTGTTTTTTTTTCAACAATTTTAAATTTAACCATTATTATTGAAGTTAAAACTTGCCAAATTTTATTGGATACTGGTTCTGTAAACACAAAATCTACTGCAGGCAAAATCTAAGGGGGATATTGAAGATAACTTACCGCATATAGCAATCATTTTAAAATAAACAGTACAGACTCCGAAATTGTGCCTTGAGGTACTCCAAAGTTTTCACCTGGATATGCGTCACCTGGGTTATTATTACCTTTTGAAGCACCATTAATTTAAGTCTAATATTTTTCCAAAACAGAGGGTATAAACAAGGCCCCACTAGAAAAACAGGCCATGCTGCAGGATCCATGACATCACACTAGTGGATAGATTTCATTGATAACTTCATTGCCATCATATTCATATTCATATTCAAACATCTTTATTCATCATAAGTCATGTACATTGGAGGTACAGTGAATAGTGTCAGAATACTTAAAATAAAAATACTATATCTATTTATGGGAGGTGGAAAACTCCTCAAAAGAATATAATGCTAAATTTATTAAATAATCTTTTAGAATTTTCTTGAATTTATAGATAGGTTTGTTTCTTTTTTTATCAATTCAGGGACAAATTTTAGAAACTCGTAACCAGCGTATGAGGGTTTTTTCAAAAAATTTTAATTTGTGAGGCTGTACAAACTTTCTTCTCCTCCTGAAATTATAAGAATGTACTGAATTTATTACTTGCTCAGATTCATTTTTTTTTGCAATAAGAACTGTTTCATAAATATATTGCCCATAAACTGTAAAAATTTGTAATTTCTTAAAATGTTCTTTTGCCGAATCATCTCGTTTAAGCTTAAGCATAATTCTGATAGCCTCTTTTTGCCGCTTCAGAATGCTATCCATATTAAATTTTTTTGTTGACCCATATAATGCTAAACTGAATGAAAGATGAGAGTGGATGTGAGCAAAATATATACTTTTTAGGGTTTTCAAATTACAATAAAAGGACATATTTGACAATGCATAAATTCCGGAGTTAGTTTTGGTCAAAACTTTCTGTGTGTGTTTATCCCAATTCAAATTTTCATCTATTGTTAAACCCAGAAAGTTGATCAGATTTTCCTTTTGAATGTTATTTGAGTTGTAAATTATTGTTGGCTCTTTTGTAATTTTGTTCTGAGCTGTTCTGAAATTCATAAATTTTGTTTTTTTGTGAATTTAATAATAAGTTATGATTGTATAAATAGTTTCCAATATTCTCTAATTCTACATATGTAAAAATTTCAGTTTCTTCTGGAGATTTAGATGATACAATCAAATTAGAATCATCAGCGTAAAGACATAATATAGAATTTTGCTTGTAGGTTAAATTATCTTCCATGCCCTTAAGGTAACACAAAAAAGCAAAGGCCCCAAAATTGAACCTTGTAGGACCCCAAATTTAATTGGTTGATAAGTTGATGATGATTTGATAATTCTATTATGATTTGTCAAATGGGTAATTTCCACAAATTGAGATCTATTTGTCAAATAGAAAGAAAACCAGTTAAGAGCTCTTTTAGATATTCCAATTATTTTAAGTTTTTCTAGTAATTTTCTATGTTTTACACTATCAAATGCTTTAGAAAGGTCCATAAATATGCCAATTGTATAATGTCCTTTGTCTACTGAATCAATGACTGATTGGATAAAAGAAACAGCTGCATCACCATTCCCATATGTTTATGAACAAGCTGGCTGTTAGTAAGATTTTAATGGTAAGAGTTTAGTACAACTATCCACCACTGTGTAGTGTTGCGCTGCCCGTGCTGCAGTATATATGGCCTGTTTTTTCTAGTGGAGCCTTGGTATAAAGCAGAAATATAGTATAAATAGTAATTATAAACAGATTATAAGGATGGACCTAATGTGACCTTGGGGAATGTGTTATCAACTGTTATCAGTGGTGGTGATTTGTCAGTTGTCCATTGAGCAGTGAAGTGTAGGACTGACCTAACCTTAGACCTCTTGATTGCCCCCTCTCTTAGTCATGAAAGATACAAAAACATATTTCATTCTGTGCATGATGACTTTGTAAGTAAACATTGCAATTACTTAACCCTAAAATGAATAAATGTTTCACTTTTTTACCAGAGGGAATGTGCATTTATACTATAATTTATTTAAATTCTCACAGAAATAAAGTATTTAACAAAAGCGTTAAATGCTGGAATGAAGTATTATTTATAAAGTTTTGTTTTAAATAATCTGAAGAAGAAAAGTGAAATTACAAATATTCTGATGAAAGGGGATAAAGAATTACCAAACAGTTCTGAAAACTACTCAAACTTAATCCCTTAAGATTATTTCTAGAGTGTAACATCTTAATTTGATTACCGGATGCGGATTATACATAAGAAGTTTGTAAGCCTTATTTGCTTTTTACTTTTCCGACACATAATCCAAGTCCTAATTTCAAGACAAAGACACTGGGTTTATAATAGCAACGTTACATGTTTAATTTAGTAGTCTTATTTAGAGTTAACTAGAGTCTGGAGCCAAGACCTTGACTATTTGCAAACATCTGTTATGAAATCTGTTTATATTTTTTGCTCTTTGGCAGTGATATTGTAAGTAAAAAGATTTATTAATTTGCATGTTCTGATTGCTGCACTTCCTTAGAGCATTCATTTCTAAAGAAAATTATTTTTTGTATGTTTTTACAACATATATAATATATACATTTACAATAAGGTTCTGAAATTTTGTAAGAATACAAAATTTAGTTGGAAGGAAAGAGTGATGTGAAAAGAACCATGTTTAAATACAATTCTTGAATTTTAATATAAACTTGCAAAGCATGAGCTCTATTTCTAAATTGGCGATACTTCTTGATTAAAATTAAAATATAAAAGATTTGAGCTACAGTAAAGTGTTTTTAATAAGTAAATTTTTTATTTTCAAATTGTATTCTTTTATAGACAAACTAAACATCAAAAGTTAACAACTCATACTCAGACAACAATACATATGTTGTTAAAATGAAACTGAACTCTTTGAAGCATGGATAGTTTTTTTCATCACTCCGTAACGAAAGTAACTACTTTCAATAACAGCTGACATCAATGAAAGTAGTCGTTTCCCAAGCGCCAAGCTCTAATTTAGGGCGAGGGAAAATCGATCAGCTGATTTTCATTTTCAAATTGTATTCTTTTATAGACAAACTAAACATCAAAAGTTAACAACTCATACTCAGACAACAATACATATGTTGTTAAAATGAAACTGAACTCTTTGAAGCATGGATTAGTATATTTCATTACTAGGACCGAAAGTGGCATTTTCCGACGCGCGCCCAAGTTTCATGTGTGAGGCAAAGCCGAACACAGGAAACCCAAATTTTACGTGCGAGGCAAAGCCGAGCAGGTGAGAGTTATTTTCACGTACGAGGTGAAGCCGAGGACGGGAATATTGGAGCAAGTGTCGGAAAAATGCTTTTGGTACGAGTTATGAACGATACTTTTCATCACGACGCAAAAATACACAGATGCAGAATAACATATCTCAGTAGCATTATTAGACCACTCTTTATCATTGAAAATACACTTCACGACTTAAATATATGGCTTCATAATTGTAATTATTTAGATAAATGTATTGATAAATACTTCGTCACTTACGTTAATTAACTTAACATTTTGTAATTTGTACCAGTGTCCAAGCTTTCTGTATTCCTCTTCTTATCCTTCCGGTGATTTATCCGGTGAAATGTGATAAGTTAAGTTGTTTTCATCAAATCATCAATAATGTTAGACATACTTTGAGCAATTCCAAACATGCACTATGTTAAAAACACAGCAAATCAAACAAATGCCTGTTTCTGTATGGATTTAGATTGTTCAACAATAAAAACAGCTGTTTCAAATCATTAAATTAAACCGTAACACTAGCGCACGTAGTGAGTAAATAGAGAACTAATCGAGAGCGAGGGAAAGTAAATTTAGAGCGAGGGAAAATCAGCTGATCGATTTTCCCTCGCCCTAAATTAGAGCTTGGGAAACAGCTACTTTCATTGAAGACAGCTGTTATCGAAAATAGTTACTTTCGGCGAAGAGTGATGAAAAGTTTTTTTCATCACTCCATAACGAAAGTAACTACTTTCAATAACAGCTGACATCAATGAAAGTAGTCGTTTCCCAAGCGCCAAGCTCTAATTTAGGGCGAGGGAAAATCGATCAGCTGATTTTCCCTCGCTCTAAATTTACTTTCCCTCGCTCTCAATTAGTTCTCTATTTATTCACTACGCGCGCTAGTGTTTTGTTATGGTTTAATTTAATGATTTGACTCAGCTATTGTTCAAAGTTGTTTTATTCTTTTATTTTGATATTCAAACAAAATGTATTGAAAAATATACGTAGGTTTCCTTTTAGAACATTTTATTTTATTTTATTTTCATGTTCAATCAAATTAATTGAGAAATAAAATAGTTGTAATATTACTGAGGTCTGCTATTCTGTATTTGTGTATTTTTGCGTCGTGATGAAAAGTATCGTTCATAACTCGTACCGAAAGTTATTATCCGGCACTTGCTCCATTATTCACATTATTAAATAAAATAGCTCTCACATACTCGGCTTCGCCTCGCACGTGAAATTGATGTTCACTGTGTTCGGCTTCGCCTCACACAAAAACTTGAGCGCGCGACAGAAAATGCCACTTTCGGTCCTAGTAATGAAATATACTATTATCCCACCTAAATTAATCACTTTGTGCACTATTTTTCAGCTGATACAAAAAAGTAATATAATTGTTGCCCAAGCTCTACACCTTTTCCACTTTTATTTCAGAAAGGGTCAATTGTATTTCAGAATGGTCATTTGTATTTCAGAAATGGCAATTTGAATTCCAGATGTAAGATTTTAATTTTAGAAAGTGTCAATTGTATTTCAGAATAGTAATTTTAATTTCAGAAATCATCACTTTTATTTCAGAAATGGTCATTTATATTCAATAAATGATTATTTGCATTTCAGAAGATGTCAATTGTATTTCAGAAATAATTTGTGTTAACAACTTTGTCATCAGCATTAGGAATTAGCTATAAATTCGTTATGAGAAAAAACCTTTAGTTAGTATAATTGTTGTATCATAGGATGAGATTCAACTCGGAAAAATATCTCATTAGGCCCTGGTCAAATCAGGAAAAACGTGATAAACTTTTCTAGGCTAACCTAATTAACCTAAACTTAACCCTGGGCTTCTTATAAATTAAATTTGAATCAGATCCGCTCCGACTGTGTAAAATTGTCTAATCGATCATTTCTGAAATACAATTGACTTTGTCTGAAATACATTTGACTAATCCTGAAGTATATGTGACAATTTCTGAAATACATATGACTACTTCTGAAATTCAATTGATGTTTTCTGATATAAAAGTTACTATAGTCTGGAATGCAAATGATACTTTCTGAAATGAAAATGATAATTCTGAAATACAATTGATGCTTTCTGAAATAGACTTGACACGTTCTGAAATAGAATTAGAAAAGGTGTAGTTTAAGTTCTAAGTTTTATCAGTTTAAAGCAAGAGAAACCGATCAGCTGATTTTAACTTGCTCTAATTTACTTTCCCTTCCTGTCAATCAGTTCTTCATTTGTGTGCTAATGTTTGTTTACAATCATTCCTTTTATAAAAAAAACCAGCCGTTTTTACTGTTCAACCATACACAAATGTAAACAGAAACATGCATAAACTAGTTTATTGCTGTGTTTACTGCACAATAAACGTAACCTTAAACTTGAACTTCTAATTTTTATGTTATTGTTATTTAGGTTTTTATAACCCATTTGCTTCAATTTTCCTTTTAATGTTACTTAGGAAATACAGTATAATAGTTTTATTTTACCGAGGACTGCTAATTCTGTTTGTAAGTATATTTTGAGTCATGATGAAAAGTATTGTTCATAACCGCTTATAACGTATAATGTTTGACGTACCATACCGAAAGTAATTTTCCAGCACTAGAGCCAATTATTCCCGTCCTCCGTATTACCTCGTACATGGATGTGTTCAGCGGCATAAATAACACCCCCACAACCCCTGCAGTGCGGGAGGGCGCCAAATTCCAGGGTCCAGGGGGTACTGAGGTCCTATTGACACCGCCGACAGCAATCACAAGACCTACCTGTCTACATGACCAAAGAAGATGTTCACGATTTTGACACAACTGCTGAATGAGATGATGTAATTTCCGTTACCGCGGGAGATGAAGATCGCTCGTTGTACTTACGCCACTGCATGTGTTTGGCTTTGCCTTACTTATGAAACTTGAGTACACACCGGAGAATGCCACTTTCCAGTAATGAAATTTACTATTCGATCATTTAAACCCAAATGCTGATAGGAATATTATTATTTTATTGATGCTTCAAGAAGAATGAGTGTACTATTTGTTACTAGATGATTATTTTAGATCAGTAACTACCATACCTAATTTTGTTCTGTAACCAAACTATTTTTATTTATTTTTTTATTTTCAGTGCAGTCCTATTGGGGCTGGGTCTGTTTGCAAGTATTTGGTGGCTTGATGCTTCAGTTCAAGCTTCTAAAACTTCTCCTCACATAATTATCATCTTGGCAGATGATTTGGTGAGAAAACAAGGAGAAAATAAAATATTCAATTAGAATAACATAGCTGTGCACTTAGAAATAGTTATCTGTAGTCACTTTGATAACGTCTTAGGATAAAATTATCAGTATGTGTAGCCTAGTTTACGCCAAAAATAAAATGTAGAAACATGTGTATAGTAGGACAAAAGAAAATCTATTGTAGCCTTCTGTTGCAGGCAAAAGTAAATTATGCTTAACCAGAATATCATACTACTCAGTGTCATTGACTTGGTTTAAAAAATAAAACTTTCAAAATGCTCATGTTATGTCTTGGCAAACAAATACGATACTCACACCTCTTAATGAAGAAAGGGTACATTAGTGAGATAATGGACTTTGACAAAGAACTTATAGAAGTTAAAAGAATATGCCATACATAAAAAGTTAGTTTGACACATACGTGTTATTGTTACATAAGTACTTTTTTAAATCCAAACTGTTTGTGCTACCAAATACCGTAGCAGGCAGGACCAGATCTTCCATAGTGGACAAGCCCGCTAAGGCGCTTTTTCCAATCGGTTGATGGCCAATGCGGGAGATCCTCAGTAAAGTTGTAGAAGGCTTTTGATGTCTGTATACCAGTACATATACCTATACTGTGCGGTAGTGTAAGTGTGGACGTGTATTCTAAAAAGGTAGATATACAGGATGCAGTTTGTATGTGTGCAGATTCATGCAGCATTCAGGGTAGCATCCAACTTTCTGACACAGTTTGTCCAGAGTATTCTCCTCTTAAGGCTTAGGTCACATGTTAACTTGACCTGAAGAAATATGGTGAACAATCTCAGGTCCGCTTCTAACAGAGTAGAGGTTTTTAAAATTAAATTGAGATTTTCCTGGTTAATTCAGAAGCCTCACACACTACTGGTTGACCACCTGGGTGCATAAACAAATTTTACCTCCTCTCCATGAATACAAAACCAAAAAGATAAACCCTCTGAACTTTTTGCATACATTTGGATTATGATTCCAGGAATTGAGCGACGTCAACTACGCTACTCAGCCTATCTGTACACCAGCCATGGTTTTGTTCTAATATTGTGTTTCCAGGGATGGAACGATGTCAGTTTCCATGGGTCAGACCAGTTCCAGACACCCAACATCGATGCCCTAGCATACTCTGGTGTCATTCTACACGACTACTACACTCAGCCTATCTGTACACCAGCCAGGGCTGCCCTGCTTACTGGCAGACACCCCATCAGTAATGGTGAGCAGATCTTCTGTAAACCATCATAGCCTGTAGTAGTTGGTACCTATATTAAAATTTTTGATGGTTTCTACAGTTCAAAAATTTGCATTGAAGAAACAAACGTATAATATTATATCTTTAGTGTTTAAATGCTGTAGGAATGGAGCATGATGTGATATACGCTCCACAACCATGGGGTCTCCCACTCTCGGAGCGTATAATCCCACAGTATCTACAGTCTTTGAACTACAAGTCTCATGCAGTGGGGAAGTGGCACCTCGGCTTCTTCCACTCCAACTATACTCCAGCCAGGCGAGGCTTTGACTCTCACTACGGCTCCTGGCTTGGGCATCAAGACCACTACTCACATATGGGGTATGAGGTTAGAGGAATCGTGATAAGTTGGATTTAAAAAAATTATTTCAATTTACGAATACATCACTGATTAGTACGTAGACAGATTCAGCCAATAATGTAGGTTTGTAATAAATAAGCCCTCAAACAAATAAAGTAGCTAACACCAATCTTCAAATAAAGAGCAACAATATATTTTTTTAAACTAGATACAATCTATATAAAAAAATCAATCTCTAAGGAGTGTGTGCTCTTTTAGCGAATTTCCCTATAGGGAAGTAGCTATTACCGTAGGTCTCATGGTAAGACCTAGGCCCGGGACCGATTTACTTTTTCATTTTGATGTCCCCAGAGGCCAAAAACACCATTCGTTCAAATTTTTATATATCTATATATAGATATACATATATATACATGCATATATATTTACACACATATATATATATATATATATGTGTGTGTCCATCCGCACGATAACTTGAGTAATTTTTGTCCGATTTTGATAAAATTTGGTTTGAAGGTGTAAGGCGGGATCAACTTGAATGAGTTTGCGAACCAACATGATCGGACTATGAACCCCCCATAAACCCCCTTTATAGGGGGTTTTATGGGGTAAAAATAGATTTTTCCCATTTTAGACCCTAAAAACACAAATTTTCACAATTTCTTTTAAAACCATTTTGTAGAGCTTAAAAGAACAAATAATTTAGTATATTGAAGCGTTATTATGCGCCTAATTGTTACGGGGATAATAAAAAAAAGGTAATTTTAAAATTCCCATGTTATTCTTATGGAGAATAAGTCAACTGTTGTAATTTGCTTGTTTATGAACATATTTTGATCAAATTTGGAAAATACATTAATTTCTTACTAAACCACAGTACCTTTTAACATTTTACATTAAAAACAACTTTTTTACCCTCCCTGTTGCAGCAAACCTAAGTACTCATTAAACTAATTCTGTTTAAATAGGGAATAAATGTGATATTTTTAAGGAAACATTTTAGTTTAAATCCAATCAGGCAAATGGAAATTCGCTAAGTTTGCAGGTTTGCTGCGGCGGGGGTATTTTATGCTTGTATTTTCTCCAGCCTCATCCAGGGTATGATTTCCATCGTGATTTGAACGTCAGCTGGGACGCTGCAGGTATGTACACCGCAGATCTCTTTACCAAGGAGGCTGAGCAGATTATTAGGGATCACGATGATTCTCAACCTCTCTTCCTCTACCTTGCCCATGATCTGCCTCACGCTCCTCTGCAAGCTGATGACAACATTGTCAAGAGATTCTCTTACATTCCAGACAAAAGGAGACAGAAATTTGCAGGTAACTATTGGTTGAATCAAGCGCTTCTTCTTAAAAAGAGAACCAACAATAAAAGTGTATTATTTTGTACATCAGTACATGGAATGGTATCAAAAACTATAGCCAAAACTTAACTTAAAGAAAACAAGTCTCTGTCATAAAGTAAAACATGAATTTGACATTTTTTTGCAACATATATGCACATTCCTCCATGGTTGTGAAGACATCATCATGCATCTTTCGGCCCCACCGGCCATGAAGTTATTGTCATTGCGATGAAGACATCATCAACGCTACAGATAATCGTGACAAAATCTATATGTTAGCCGGGTTGCAAAGACATCATTATTGCTTCCTCGATTGCAGTAATATCTCATAATTCCACCGCTTATACGGAGGCATCGTCATCACCTTTCGAGATGGCGGCAACATCTACATTCCCCTCAGTCATGTTAATTATAAAGTGTAAATGTTAAATTAATGAAACTAGTGTACCTGTTGCTCGGATTCGAGCAATTGCGGAGTATTACAGGCGACTCACGAAGATTATGGAAAGCATAATCAATAACAAAACCATGACCATGATGGTTTTTGTATTGGGTTTTCGTGTTGTGTTGTACTCACGATCTACACAACAGTTAGATATAATCAAAATCTTTTGTAAATATCTTATATCTTTTATCAAAAAGCTGATCTTGTTTTTTAGTGTTTCTACAAATTTTTCCCTCTCATAGCCACATTTGGTTGTCTATAATAACGATTATAAATTTTTTTAAAAATATTTCTTTTCTTCTACTTGGTTGTGTTCCATGACTTTTTCTATGTTTCCATTGTTTGCAAATCGGTTATTTCAATGATTGCCCAAGAAATGTAGCATATTGTTAATTCAGTTATATTTTTAGCCAAAACATGACACGATGCAGAATAAAATCGATTTTAAAATCAGAAAAACCCATTGCAAATACTGTACTTCATTTTGAAAAATTCAATAAATCACAATATAAATATTAACAGCTGTTTCATTAAAAAGTAGTGTAGAATTATGCATATGGTAAACAAATTTTAAGAGGCAAATTTAAAGGCTTCTGGGGCAGAGCCCCAAGGGAATTGACCTCGTTCCTATTTTGATGGCTCATCTATAGACCAAGACCTTTCTTTAGAGACCCCTACCAAGTTTCTACGCCCAGCCGTTCTCTCAAATTAGCTGGGACAAAAACCCAGTTTTTCCTCCATAAGGATAACATGGGATGGGAATTCAAAGGCCACTGGGGCAGAGCCCCAAGGAAAAATATTTCTTTTCTTCTACTTGGTTGTGTTCTATGACTTTTTTTACAACATGGGATGGGAATTCAAAGGCCACTGGGGCAGAGCCCCAAGGGAATTTACCACGTTTCTCTTTTGATGGCTCATCTATAGACCAAGACCTTTCTTTAGACACCTCTACCGAGTTTCTACGCCCAGCCGTTCGCTCAATTTAGCTATGACAAAGAAAAACAGTTTCAAATTAATATATAGATGTTAATAATTATTGATTATGAATTATCAAAATTGTATTGCAAGTGTTAATAAAATGTATTAATTTCACAACATTTGTTAGGGCTACTTACAAAAACCTTTACAAATCATCAATGGCAATACGTTAAAATTCCCCCCTAAACATCCCATTGGCTCAAGAGTGCCGCTGTCCGCCCTCACTGAGCATGCCACACATGCCCTGTGCAATGAGCTCGGAGAGGAGATCGTCAACCACCAGATTCCACAGATTTGGTGACAAGACGCCACCCTGTAGACACCCTCTTTGGGCCTTGACCTCTCTCACCGTCCCACACAGAGATGCTTGTGCTCCCCTACTTTTGAGCATGTTGCCTACCCACCTCACAACAGTGCTTACCACACACAGTGATGGTGTTATTTTTGTTGGTTTTGGTATGGTGGTATGGAATGTCTGGTTATATCAATAGTTAAACGCTATACTTTATTGGTCTTCAAATTGGATATTTTGTTCTAGCAATGGTGACAGCACTGGATGACTCTGTTGGTTGTGTAATGAGGTCTCTTGAGGCGAAGAACATGTTGAACAACTCCATTGTTCTGTTCCTATCTGACAACGGAGGTGCAACTAATGGATTCAATGGCAACGTTGCTTCCAACTGGCCTCTAAGAGGGGTTAGACGAGTTTTCTTACTTTTACAGCTGTTTTATGATCTAATTGTCTGGTTTAGCAATAAATAAGTTAAATACTGTAATACTTTGATACTTTTAATACTTTAAAACTTAAATCTGAAATGGTGACCATAGAAAGTACGTATTTTAAGCCAAGTATGAATGGAGATGAGTGTCGTATGAATGGCGCTATCTTGTAGTCTTGTTAGTGACTAAGGCTGACATATTCCTTAGACACTGCTGTTGATTAATAGCCCATATAGCCAATGACAACTAAGGGACCTACAGATTAAAGTGGTATCCGAACCGAACCAAATTTTTTTCTTAATTGACAAATTGGTCTAATTATCAGGATAGTACTTCGGATGGTTGTAGTACTCACTAGTGTGGACGTTAATCCACACCACGGAGTATCGCATCCACAGTGCATGCCTATAAATATTCACAATTCGTGACCTACTAGTTGTTGGATTACCGGACAACACCACTGTCCCAGTAAAAAAAATAATGAAATTATAAATACCAGAAGAGGACGTCATAAATTGCCGAGGCGCATATGAAAAGCTAAATTGAGTTCTGACTATGAATAGTTAAAAACTTTCTTAGCTTCTTAAACAACTAGATCCTTTTTAGTGCTACTTAAAATAAGTATTAGTTAAGTCGCATGGGCCTAAATTTTAACAAAGTACTGTATCATGAATAATAATTAATTAAGCCAATAAACAAGACGATTCCATAAACATCAGTTACCATTTGTCACTGTTTTATACATTTGAGTGTTTTCTAACTGTTGATTGCATATTCCACAGATTTAGAACATTCTGTCAAAGACATCTTACGAAGGGAATTTAGCTATGAAATACACAAATCGAGAATTAAAGATGTATACATTTTATACATAAGATTAAAATAGCATTGTAAATTTTTCAGATATATATATATATATATATATATATATATATATATATATATAAAGCAGAACTAATTAACAAAGAATAACTACGCCACTTTTTACTATATTGATTTTATTTTTGATATTCTTTACTTCAATACATAAAATATAAAATTAGCAATATATTTTTTTTTATTCAAGGTATTCTTGGCGACATTTGTCTTAAAAATTAGTATAAAACAAGGTTTTTGACTTTGGCTGGGCTTGTATTTTAATTGTTACATTTTAGGCACTCTCTCAACTGAGGATGGAATCAGATTCCAGATCCTGCGATGTAATAATCAAAACTTGTATTTTTGCTATTCCTAATGGAAAATGTCCGCAATAACTCCACTAAACAAAACACCATCAAAACATAGCCTAAATCAAAGAAGTATGTACCTAATATTAGTTCTAAAAATTATCCCTACCATGATATCCAGGGCAAGGACACGCTGTGGGAGGGTGGAGTGCGGAGTGTAGGAGTTATCTGGAGTCCTCTACTGGAGTCAACTCCCAGAGTTCACAGAGGCCTGGTCAATGTACAGGACTGGCTGCCTACATTACTGGAGGCTGCAGGAGTTGGCAACCAAACATTGGGTTGGTACCATTGAATAATCGGTTTGAACTGTTAAAGGTGGAGTTGTAAACAAAAAATGTATAAAACAAATGTAAACAGTAGAGGCTCTGGGTCGTGAAGAGGGACATTGATTTAAAACCCAACATAAACAAATATTCAAAGTCTTCAATGTACATTTTAAATCATTAAATGCTGCTGATGTACATATTTTCGTGGAGGAGTTCGTAAAAATCAAAATAGTAGGCAACGGTCCCCATTGTTGAAAACACATCCTGGAGCCCTTCAAAAAGTACACAGGAACACAATAGGGTAAAAATGAGTTGTTGTAAAAAGATGTTTGAAAATTGTACATTTTTATGTTTTGGAAGGATTTACAGGATATACCGTAACCATATGTTATACAATAATTATGTTAATATTTTCTATTCCAACCCAGACTAAAATGTATTGATCAAAGGTAAAAAAATTATTAAATTTACCATCAAGGTCTGTTAACCGGTTGATAACACACACATTAGATATTTTTAAAGGAGTTCAGTTTTTCCCATATAGGGAATAAGCTATTACCGTAAGTCTTGTGGTGAGACCTGGACCCCGGACCAATTTTCTTTTTCGTTTTCATGTCCCCACAGGCCAGAAACACCATCTGTTCAAATGCATATATGTGTGTGTGATGTCAGTATGTTAGCATTTTAATTCTAGAAAAGATTATCCCTTTTCATTCAATGAAATTTGGTAAAAATGTGTAAACCTACAGTTAAACCAGCATGATCTGACTATGGGAATTGGGTTTTAAGAGGTAAAAATTGGGTTTTTCCATTTCTGACCAACAAAACGTAACATTTTGCAATTTACTTTAATGTTATTAAAGTGGTTTAAAAACCTGAATTTAACTTAAATAAAAAAAAACCCCCGCCGCAGCAAACCTGCCAACTAAGCAAATTTCCATTTGCCGGAATTGATTTTCAAATTAAATCTATTTAAATAACATTAGGTTTAACGAGTCCCTAGGTTTGCTGCTACAAGGAAACTGTTAAAGTGGGGTTTTTAGTAAAATATTAATAGCTTAGTATAAAATAAATAAATTTGCCAAGTTTTATCAAAATATATCTATAAACAAGTTAACTACAACATTTTACAATATTATCCATAAGAATAACATGGAAATTTTAAAATAACAAATTTTTGAATTTTCTCCGTAACCAATAATTGTAAAACACTTTGATGTACTTAATTATTTGTTTTTTTAAGCTCTTAAAAAAGGTTTAGAATGAGATAAATTGGGATATTTTGTGTTTTGAGGGTCAAAAATGAGAAAACCCATTTTTACCCCATAATACCCCCCGTAAAACCCCGTTCCCATGGTCCGATCATGCTGGTTTGCGAACTCATTCAAGTTTATCCCGCCTTACACCTTTCAACCAAATTTCATCAAAATCGGACAAAAACTACTCAAGTTATCGCGTTTACGGACGTATATATATATAAATCTATATATATGTACACAACATACATATATTAAAATTTGAGCGAATGGTGTTTTTGGCCTCTGGGGACATCAAAATGAACAAGTAAATCGGTCCCGGGCCTAGGTCTTACCGTGCCACCTACAGTAATAGCTACTTCCCTATATGGAAATTGTTAATACAATAATACTTTTTGGATAAAAATATAAATAAGTTGGAGAAAAATACTTGCAGTCAGTATAATATTGCTATTGGAGTTATTCAAATCTTTAACATTCAAACTAGCGTTTCTAATTTTACTATGATGACTTACCTAATGCATCTTTCAGATACAAGCCATCTAGATGGTGTAAGTCAATGGCCCTCTTTGCAACAGAAGACAAAACCACCGTACTCAACTATGCTGCATAATGTCGACAAACAGAGGAAAATTGGTGCACTGAGACATGGCGACTGGAAACTCGTCACTGGTACTTGTACTGCATAGTCTAACTGAAAACAGATCAGCAAAAATTGTCAGTTGTTCTCATGATCACTGTTAAATCCTTCTATTTCTTTCAAAATCCGTACACTGACTGTGCAGTCTTTAAAAAAGCTTGAACCACATAGGGCTTAGCTAGCTTATAACTTTTTGTAAGGAGTTTGTTGTAAGGCTGGTCATCACCAAGACAATATAGTTCGGCCGCTTAGAAAGCGACCTCCTCTAGCATTGGTTAGCATTAGCGTGCAGGTCGCTTTCTAAGCGGCCAAACTATAGTAGGTTCACTGACTTCTTATTACTTGACCAGGTTAGTGAAATTCAGATTAAACAAACTTTTCTTTCTATGAAGAAAAGAAACATTTTCCTGGGACCGGGTGCACCTTTTATCTTTAAAAATATTTTTACAGATGAAAATCTGGAATAGTGTATTCCTAATTGAAAATTTAATACAGCATACTTTGCCAAAACCCTGTAGTTTACAGCAACAAATAAACTTCCTAAATTCCTAAACGAGATGAAATGTTCACACAAAAACATCGGTCAGACCCATGTAAAAGCATAATTTTAAAATTTATTATAAAAACAATCTGCAATTCAAAAAATGTCTTCTTAAATGTTGAATGAACTAAAATAGTTTTGTAAGAGCAATCGGATGATGACAATGTGGATTGTGGATTAGTGATACAGGAAATTATCACATGACCATGGCAAGGCCACAACCTCATTGTGAAACTGGCGTCAGAGTTTACCTGCTTCATTGAAATTGAAAGTATCTCCGTCAAATTTCGGTTGAGTAACATCGATCAAAAGTGAAACAGTGTCATGAAATTAACAACTTAACTGTCACCTCACCTCTGGAAGCTGGCGGGAAAAGTCATCTTAGCAGTTTCCTTGGTTTAATAAATAAAAAAAGTTGTTATCTATGTCCTTTTCACGTATTATTGATATATACATGAAAATACCATGAAAACCAATCAGGAGAATAACAAAAAATCCAATATAACTAAAAAAAATTAAATACAACTTTTTATAACAAATCAGCAAAGGTATAATGAAGCAGCATTAGGTACTGCTCTTAAATAAGTTGTCATAAGCTTATTACAATAAATCATAATATATTAGTAATATTTTTGTACCTACAATATGGTGTCTACCTAATTAATGTTAAGTGGTTTGCAAGAAAGTCAACATATTAGAATATGTTTAATTTATTTCATATAATAATTTGTACTCATTTATTAGTATCCAATGTCTATAATTTATCAGTCCAATACCAGAAACTCCTACAAAATCTTATAGGCTTATTTGTTAATTTAGAATCATTCAATAAAAATATACCTTAAATTTTAAATTTAACAAAATGAAGTGAAGACGTCAATGTTTGTTCCAGGTAGAACGTACAACGGAGCTTACGATGGGTTTTACGGACGTTTGAATGGCAAAGTGGCTTATGATTTGAATAAAATAAGGAACAGTGAAACAGGAAATGCTGTTAGTAACACTACATCACCTCTGCCCTGTGACTCTGATATCTTGAAGATGAGGACAGCGGCTACAGTCTCGTGTTTATCTTCCCAAATAGGTAAGCAGGAAAGAGATTTAAAATAACAATGATAATAATAATAAGAGGAAGAATCAATTAATCATCTAAACATTACATGGAAAACACATTGTCAGCTACAATAATCAGGCTAGTTATTAAAAGTCACTTCAGCTTCAGACTATTAATCAGTACTAGAAGTGGTCCAGTGGCTGAAAACTCAACCAAAAATATGTAATGTCACACTTCTTCTATTCACACTGTAAATAAAACATGTGATTGGAATTTCTTCCATTTGTTTTGATTTTCTATGTATATTTCGTTGTTATTTTGTCACCATGAGCATGGCAACCCATAAGGCCCTTGTTAATTTTTTGTGCTTATTTTTTAGCCTGGTTTAATAAAAAAAAAAAAATTCTGCACACCTGCAGAGAAATATCCTTTTAACAGTAAGCATAGATTTCCCGGCAATGGACAGGAGCTGAGAAATAAGGTTTTCAAGAAACATGCTTGCATATTAGGATTAAAATAAAATGAAAACTCCTTTGTTGAATACAATGGATCGTTCAACAGGCAGTTTGTCAAATTAGACTAAAATCTATATATTAATAGACAAGCATGTTTCTTTAAATCCTTTTTCTCAGCTTGTGTGCATCGCAGGAAAAATCTACACATATGGTTAGAAAAATATTTGCCTGTAGAAGTGCAGAATCGATTTATAAATTAAAATAGGCTAAAAAATTAATTTAAATTTAAAAAAAATGTCATGGGCCATGGGTTGCCATTCTGATGGCGAAATAACAAACAGAAAATCAAAACAAATGGAAGAAGTTCCAATCACATGTGTTATTCACAGCGTAGGACCAGGACGAAAATAGACAAGTTTGCCCAATACATATTTTTTTGTTGAGTTTTCAACCACTGGACGTCCTCTAGTATAAATAATTCAACACTGAAATGGTAAATCACTAATCAGTCTTAAGCCTGAAATAATTTTAATTAATTATTTAATTTAACACAGCATTTTGTACTCCAGCATTTTTATTTTCTAATCAAAGAAAACAATATGATTTTTATTTTCCAGCAACTCCAAAAGTGACTCCACACGTAATTCATATTAGGGACACAATGTTTATTGTGGATATCAATGAAACTGGTTCAGCAATGCAGAGGAAAATGAATAAAAGAAAACATTTAAACACTTCTAATGAAGGTTTGTGGATATAATGGTCATAGGTCACATCTAAGATAATAATTATAGCTATTAAAGTATTAATTATGATTAGAAATGGGCCTAACAATATAATGTGTAGCTGCAGTTTTTACGATTTTCGTATTAGATTACTTAAAAAATGCATTGGAAGACTTTGATTGATTTCTAAAATTTAATGTAAAAATTTCGATCTTAAAAAGTCTAAGCTTGTCGTTATTAAATTAATTGTAAATGTCAATGATTGTAAAAATATTAGCGTAATTTTTCCTTACGCTGTACTTAGATTGATAATACTGTTTTAATTTTTAAAACAATTATTCACAACATTTTAACTGTGGATTTGACATTCCTTTCCTTTCTTTCAAAATACTCCTTCAATAGAAGAATAATGAAAATCTGTCTAGTGGTTGTTTCAGAATATTTAGGCAAAAAATCCCTTCAGGTTATAAGGTTATTTCATGTGTGTTTGATTCAGTTAAGGTTATTCAGATGAAAAGGTTTATTCATTCTGTGTACTGTAGTTAAATCCAGCGTTGCATTTATATATTGTATCTCAAACTAAACTCACAAAGTTATTCACAGCTGTTCTTTTACCAGTTCCCACACAGAGTACACTGGATGCCACCGCGTGTAAACCTCATCTATCCCCGTGTCTTTTCAACCTGCTGGAAGATCCCTGCGAGAAACGGAACATAGCGGCAGAGTTTCCGGAAACAGTAAACCAGCTGATGTCCATACTGCAGAGCTACCAACCTGTGGCACCAAATAACCGACCAGAAGATCCCCGCAGCTATCCGATCCATTGGAACAACACTTGGACAAACTGGCTAGACTTTTTGTGATGTGGAGAAATGTTAAAAATACACCACACCAATATACGTTGAAAGAACCATGCATAGAATAGGTTATGTTATATTTGTATAACACTGATATAACAGAGTGTGTATAAATATGATCATGTATAGTATGATGAGTGATGGATGAGCGTTTAAGAACGAAAGAGGCCCAGATGATTACACTATTTATTCAAGATTAAATTTTTATTTCAAAGACATTTACACTTACACATCTGGGTCCAGTATTTAATCATAAAAAAAGAATTGATTATTTTTACTGTTCATCGTATATGAACAGGGAACTTTTTTTACAAAATCACTTTTCAGAAATCGGTTTCATGCGTGTAATATTTTATAAATGCCATTTTTGAGGGAAGGATTGTATATGCATTTGTATCAATTACAGTTACATTTTATACTGTACAGGAAACAAAAAATAATATTGCTGCAATTTTGTGGCTTTAAAGTTATAAATTGTCTGCAATGTGTTAGTTATCAAGTGTGTTTTCTTTGTAATGGACTGAACGTGATATCCCACCATAATAGTTCGTAGATTTTTGTTTAGTTACGTGTAGGCTGTGACTCCAAATATTGGCAAAACCCAATAAATGTATACCAAATAAATTAAATGGATATTTTTTCCTATCTTGTTAACGATTTCAACAGTGACATAAAAAATTGCCTTTTACTGCTACAAATTCAGGTGCATTATTATAGTACTAGCACAACCCGTCTTGACTTTGCTCAAGACAATTTTGATTAAAAAGCTAAATGCTTTATCTGAAACTACAGATAAGGGAGTAACTACTAAGTTATTTCCTTGCATGTGCCGATGCTAAATAATAAAATAGGGTCGCCGGAATTTTATCCCCCTGGAATTTTACCCCCTGGGCAAAGCTGACGTCACTATGACGTAGTAACCTGAGCGGCCAAAAGTTTGCCGATTTTAGAAATTGAATGATTGATTTTCTTATTTCTGTTTTTAATTAATTGTAAACATTTCATTATTTTAGTAGCCTATCTTTATTTATTTTGTAATCTCAACTAAGTAAACAGAATTCGCTGTTTTATTTTGATCATATTAACCAACAGTTGGCTTCAAAGATCGAAGCCTGATACTCGAATCTCAAAATTAAAATTAAAAAGCTGTTCGATTAGTTAATCTTACTAATATTATAAATCTGAAAGTTTGTGAGTTTGTGTGTATGTTTGTTGCTCAATCACGCATAAACTACTGGACGGATTGGGCTGAAATTTGGCATGATGATAGCTCACATTCCCGATTAACATTAAATCATATTCTTATCTCAAAAACCCTTTCGGGCTCCGTCCCAGTGGCTCTGTAGTTCCCCATGTTAATCTTATGATTTTTCATATTTAAAAGGAATTAATGAATCTTAACAGCTGTTTCAATTAAACAAGTTGGTTCTGTCATAGACTAACCAACACAAAACACGACCTCTACATAAACCGTACAGAACTAACAATACAATTGTCTTCAGCTGTTCCATAAGGATGAGAAATCTACTAAGGGAGTATGTTTTACTATCTATAGTTCTGTTCTATGATGTTCAATAGCATAAAAGTTACAAGGATTACCAACAGGGTGCAGCACTATTATTTTTTTTTAATTTATGACAACAGCTAATTTCCAACCAAAAGGTGAGTGAGCGTAGCGAACGAACTTCAACCTGGAGGCGAGTTAGCGTAGCGAACGAGCTAACCTGAAGGCAAGTGAGCGCAGCGAACGAGCTCCAACCTAAAGGTGAGTGAGCGTAGCGAACGAACTTCAACCAGGACGTGAATGAGCCATGCGAATACTTATGAAGTTAAACGGGGCGAAGCCCGCGGGTACAGCTAGTGTTACAAATAAATTAAGATAGGCTACTTAATAATAAAATGTTTACTATTAAATTAAAACTGAATGAAGATAATTAATCATTCCCACTAATTTATATATCTGGCCAGGGGGTAAAATTCCGGGGGTAAAAATCCGGGGGTAAAAATCCGGGCCGTACATTCTAGGTTTTTATAATTTGATGTGATCTGATTAAATTCACAAACGTGAAAATATATGTTTAATTCCGCGTTTACTCCATCGAGCTGATGTCGCGAAACTCAAAAGTTCGCGGCCGGAATTTTACCCCCTGGTTTGTGACGTCACGTTTGCCCAGGGGGCAAAATTCCAGGGGGATAAAAATCCGCTACCCCATAAAATAATATGAAAACGGTACCCGAGCCGACTATACCGTAGAGCTGTCTACTATCTACTGTCTGACACCATAAGATCATATGCTGCATTGTTATAATCTGTTTACATTACTTTGTTTAAACAGCTGTTCGCTCTCCACTGGGAATCTCCGTACCGGTATGACATCATCCAAACCGCTCAATTAACCTTAAATTCGTAATCTCTGATTTTTTTGTTGTGTTCATGATCCATGATATGTATGTCGTAAGCCTGGACCGAACGAACAGAATTAGAACTTTACTGTTAGAATTTTGTAAAAAAAACACCACCTATTTTCTAACTTTCCTATGTGTAGCATCATTAGGCTATTAGACTACCAGATACCATTGCAAAAATTACAAGATTCCACGGGGGATGATAAGGTCCTGATGTCATTGGAAATCCTTTAGTCAACGACAACACAAGACCAGTGTTTTTGTAACTTTCCAAGGACCTTAACACCTTCATTTGCCAATCAGTGGAGGTTTATTGAGGAAACTCCTGTGTTCGTTTTGAGTTGGTTGCAAGAGTTGGACGATTTCCTCTCCTCCCTTCAAGTGGAGGAAAATAAGGAAATGCTTTGGCCTTCAGGGAGATAGCAATGTTTACGTTTAGGTCAGTTTTCCTAAGGAAATGTGAGTTATGGGAATTTGACTAGTTTATCTAGTATCTTACAAAACGCAACGACAACACCAGTTGAATGACTTGATGACATAAATACAGACTTGGAGATTTAAATTGATTGCAAATATTACGGCACGCCCAAAGGCTTCAAGCCTACCCATTTTTGATCATTGAGGGCAATAACATTGACTTTTAAACACAAGTTCTATTTATATTGACCAGCTCTTGCTAATTGAAAATAAACGGTATCAGCAATCTGACACATACTTTCTCCCATTAGCTTGTCAACAACCTTTATCATAGGTAAACAGTAGGAGTATGATAATTTATAAGGAAAATCACTAAAGTTGCATTAAATTTTGCAACGTAATTTTTAGATATTTGATTGGCCTATCATGAATGACTTAACATGGCTAAAGAAAGTTTTTTAGTATTTAGTAAAGACACAAAATTGTTTTCTGCTCAGCTTATTTTATCTATGCCTCCAGGTAATTTTGTGCATAATGCTCCCATGGATTTTTCCATTCCAAGGGCTTCATTATTAATTGATGGTGGATATTTGTATTTTTGGCTCAGTTGTACTTACGTTTGAAAGTGAATTTAAAAAACAAGAATAAATTATAGGCTACGTGTTTTATGTAATTTTTACAAGGCTTATTAAGGGGTAAGGGTATTTTACTAGGCATATATGACCGCATCTACTCAGATACCACTCACTAAACATGCCAAGCAACATGTAGTTACGGCCGACAAGCTAAGTAAACACAACGAGATTTCATAAATCATCATGTACTATAAAAGTTGTGCATTATGGAGTTTAAGGTTCATTTTGCATTATTAAAAAAAATCACAAAAAATTGCTTTTCCACTTATAAGGTGAAGTGCAGTTACAGTACTTTAAAGTGCTTTAGCAATTATCGATTATCAATTATTTAATATGGGGACGCCACTACGTGCGTATTTTAACCCAAATATGAGTGTAGGATGAGTGGCGCGATCTTGTAGTCTTGTTAGTGACTAAGGCCGACATATTCCTTAGACACAGCTGTTAATTAATAGCCCATACAGCTAATGGCAACTAAGGGACCTATATCACTTTATAGTGGAATCCGAACCACATTCTTGCCTTGGTATTAACGAATCGGTCTAATTATCAGGATAGTACTGCGGATAGTCGTAGTACTCACTAGTGCGGACGTTAATCCACACCAGGGAGTATCGCATCCACAGTGCATCTATATAAATGTCCACAATTCTTGACCTAATGGTATCTGGATTACAGGACGACGCCACCGTCCCAGTCTTAGCAGGGCAAACCATTAAACACAATACTGCAAAAGCCTAATATGGCCAGTCTGCAGTTAATTAAAAACAGGAAAATCAAGTCCAAATCTCTTATCACTTCCATCAGTCAGTGTTTGTGTCTTCCTAAATCTCTGCAGTTCCAGTTCCGTTATCACAAAAGTCACAACACTCAGCAACCAACCCACTTTACTACTTCACAATTCTTTTTCTACGGTCAAAACACCCATAAACAATTTTAGTAACAAAAATCAAATATATACTGATTCTTAGTGTAAATAAATCATTTTGATTGCATCAAATTCGAAATTCACAAGAACCAAATTAGGTGGATTGTTAATCATATATTCTATTGTAATATTAAGGCCCCTCTAAATCTTTCGGAGGATTAATACTGGACCAAATTAACTGTAAATTTGTCTACAAAGATACCGACCCAGGATTGCTATTGGCTAGTTACCATTTCAATATGGATATAGGATTATGTTATTCGGATTTTCAAATTTCCCAATTTAAGCTCGAGAAGATTAATTTACTATCGGTTTCTCTAAATGACGAATCATAAACACAACAAACAATTAACAAAATGTTTACATATTCTGTTATTTGACTAGTTTCAGAAAGCATTTTCGTGTCAGGATGCCGATTAGAATCAAGCAGTAAGATTATTTTTTTAGATAATTTGTATGGTTATCTCATTACCCACATAGATTTTGGGTCCTTCTACAGTGTAGTAAATAGTTATTTGTGTAACTAGTGAGCAAAGTGGCTCTTTGCTGCACACGAGAACAACTCCGCTATTTTTTCCTCAGCAAGCAATGTGCTCCACGACTTGAGAAAATAGTTCCGTATATTTTTGTAATTTGCAGTGGTTTCCGTGCCTAAAAAATGCTTTAAAGGTATTTTCTTGTTTATTAAGATCGTAGGAATGTTTTAAAAACGTTTAAAAGTTAAGTCCAGAAAGTTCAGAAATGCCGAAAAGAGAACATAAACAATAAACACGAAATGACAGGTTAAATCGTAGTTATAATAGTCAATCAGCTGCTCATAGTAATTATCTTTTAGTGTTGCCAACCTATTTCCGGCCAGGTCCAAACTCACCAACATTTTTGGGGTCGTTTCTAATGTCCAAATTCACCAACTTTCTACCTTTAGCAGGTACGATATTTCTCCCGGCGGGCGGGGAAGGAATTCCCTCCGAATAGTTTGCCATCGCCTGCTCCGTCTCGTCTCGGCGAGAGTGTACTGTAACCTAACCTAACCTAACTTAACCTAACCTAACCAAACCTAACCTAACCTAACCTAAAGCTGCCTGAAACAATCACAGCTTAAACAGTACTATTAGGGCTAAGCAGTACACTCTCGCCGAGACGAGACGGAGCAGGCGAGGGCAAACTATTCGGAATTCCTTCCCCGCCCGCCGGGAGAAATATCGTACCTGCTCCAGGTAGAAAGTTGGTGAATTTGGACATTAGAAACGACCCCAA